TAAAGCAGCAGGTAACCAACAAACCTTGTTCCCAGAGATGTATTGATACTGTACACAACGAGGCTTATGTAATTTTAGTGTTAAATGAGAATCGTTTAGTTAGGAGGTTTGCAAGTTAAATAATAAACCAGACCCCTTAAGAAAATGTATCACCTAATTCTTCTTTACAAAAATAAGGATTTTAAAGGAAAAACATGACTAATCTTACTGATCCTGAATTTCTGTGAACAGCTGGGTTGAATTGTTTAACATACTCTAACGCAACAAAGAGTGAACCTCTCTAGTGTGTTATAATCTGCAGAACCAAGAATACTATGGAATTTTTTTCTGCTCATGGTTTAGAAGTGTGTAACGAAGGGGGAATGTTCTTAATGTTTTCTCTGAATACTGTGTGGGTGCCTCAGTTTCCCCTATGCATTTCTCAAGTATCTAGGTGGTGGGATAAGGGTGTGTGATTGTTGCAAAGGCCTAGAGGACCAGTGTGATGGTGTCTCCACAGAGAATGGCCGACACCCTGTCTTCTGGCAACTGATGGCCTGGGCCCCTCCCCTGCAAAGGTGCCAACTGAAGGTGTTGGAGAACAAAGAGATCAGGTGGGCTCCTGGCCCGGGAAAGAGATAAAGGCCAGAGGAGGGGCTGGAGAGTTTCAGTTTGAAGCTGGCTGGGGAAACAGAGGGAGTCCCAGGGCCTGTCATCTAATAAACCTTCTGTTTCAGTGGCTGGCTAAGAGTCACGGTGAATCGCAGGAAGTGCGGGGTGCAAGGCCCTGACTCCCCCACACTCCATGACAAAGTGATTCTTAGATTGATTGCTGCTGTCCTCTGACTTTTTGTTCCTTATAGTATGGTTCTTGGAGGTCACTTACATTATTAATAAACTTTTTTATTTTTAACTAAATCATCTGACTTTGTATGTTGTTTATTTAGGTATGGAAATTTCTTTATAAACTATAATTTCTAAATGTAAGAAAAATTTTACTCGGCCACAGTATCTCCATTTTTTGTTAAACTTCTTATGGTGACACTGAAGGAGAACAGGCAGCAACAGCCCCTCTGGGGCAACTGACATTGACCACTGTAGGAAGACAGGATACTGGGCTAGATGGACCTTTGGTCTGACCCAATATGGCCATTTTTATGTTCTAGATCAAGGGAGGGCGAACTACGGCCTGCGGCCCCTGGGAGAGTGAGGGGGGCAGAGGGCTCCGTGTGCTGCCCTCGCCTGCAGGCACTGCCCCCTGCAGCTCCCCTTGTCCGGGAACGGGGAACGCAGCCAATGGGAGCTTCGGGGGTGGTACCCACAGGCCAGGGCAGCACACGGTGGAGCCACCTGCTCCACCCCCAGGAGCCACTGCCGGACATGCTGGCCACTTCTGGGAGAGGCATGGGGCCAGGGCAGGCAGGGAGCCTCCCTCAGTGCTGCTGCCACCTTGGAGTTGCTCAAGATAAGTGGCGCTGGGCCAGAGCCCACACCCCAACCCCCTGCCCTGAGCCCCCTAACCCGCTGCCTTGAGCCCCCTGCCTTGAAAGAAGTGGTTCGTGACTATTTAGAAAAACTGGATGTGCACAAGTCCATGGGGCTGGATGCGCTGCATCCGAGGGTGCTAAAGGAGTTGGCGGATGAGATTGCAGAGCCATTGGCCATTATTTTTGAAAACTCATGGCGATCGGGAGAGGTGGAAAAAGGCTAATGTAGTGCCCATCTTTAAAAAGGGGAAGGAGGAGGATTCGGGGAACTACAGGCCAGTCAGCCTCACCTCAGTCCCTGGAAAAATCATGGAGCAGGTCCTCAAGGAATCAATTATGAAACACTTAGAGGAGAGGAAAGCGATCAGGAACAGTCAGCATGGATTCATCAAGGGGAAGTCGTGCCTGACTAACCTAATTGCCTTCTATGATGAGATAATTGGCTCTGTAGATGAGGGGAAAGCAGTGGATGTGTTATTCCTTGACTTTAGCAAAGCTTTTGATATGGTCTCCCACAGTATTCTTGCCGCCAAGTTAAAGAAGTATGGGCTGGATGAATGGACTGTAAGGTGGATAGAAAGCTGGCTAGATCGTCGGGCTCAACAGGTAGTGATCAATGGCTCCATGTCTAGTTGGCAGCCGGTTTTAAGCGGAGTGGCCTAAGGGTTGGTCCTGGGGGCGGTTTTGTTTAATATCTTTATTAATGATCTGGAGGATGGTGTGGACCTCGCCCTCACCGACA